AAAAAAAAAACATGACCATGCAGTGAGATTAAAAGTGCACATGTTTTCCAAATATTTACATTTGTCTAACCTGAACAATGTTTCATCATATCTAAAATTATAGATTTATATTATATTATATACTGACCTTCAAGTTCAGAATTGTCATGTTTATCTGATATTATATTTACAGGGTTTTCTTTAGTCCTGAATAATTAAAAAAAAATCACTAAAAAAATATACCAATAACATTGTGTGTACATGTAATATGTAAAATTGCTTAACCAAAAAAGGTAACTTACATTGTGGCCTTTTTTCATCTTCCAACGATTGCAGTACCGAAGCATTAGCTATTTTTTCAATCGCAGCTCCAACCTCTCTCTCCCTGGACTTCAAGCTTTTATGATGTATACCAGGTACATTCAAAGTACTAAGAAAATTGTTTAATTGCCTTTCACCAATTCCAGCATGTAACATACCTGAAAACACATTTATATTACAATAATTATAGTTATCTTACTGATCGAACTGTTCTCAAAAATATATCATTTCTAACATCTACAACTTGAATACATATAACAGCAGCTACAACATACCATAAAGCTATGCAAATTACCGATTGCGAGTTTGGAATTAATATCCCAAACGGGTAATCCTGTTGTCTTTCCTTCCTGTCTGTGCCTGCTGCCTGTATATACGCGATTAATAAGTAAACACGCTGAATTATCACACCGGACGTACAGGACACATCCAAGACCGTAACACTTGTCACCTACACAGGAGCTCAGACGCAACGGTGCACTACACTGTTTACACGCATCAAGGTCTCTAGCAAGCACTCCAAGATCTACAACACGACGACCCACCTTCAAATCAGACAATTGTACACTGTGCTCTACAGCAACACAATCATCATCTAGGTAATTGGCTTTACCGGGAGACGTCATTACTTCTTCCTGATGCTGAATGTCAATGACAACGGGTACATCGTCGCTAGGTTCGGCAGCTCGACTGTGGGAGGAATGATCGTCATTAGGATCGTACACTGTTTCACCGCTTGTTACACGTTTGTAACTGCCATCTAACCGTACAATCTCTCGCTCGAAAACACCACGAGTAACAAATTTGCCGTTTTTATTACGAAACATACTTGTACAGGAATTTAAACACAGCGCTTCATAAAGAAAGTGTTTGACCTGACCTTCAATGTTTACCTCGAGATTTGCGGCGCACGCGCATAGACATATGCGCAGAAAAATGCGCAGTTTAAAAAAAACAAGTTAGCCGCATCCCACGTTAATAAATCAATAAACAATGCAACTGTTGGTTTACATGTGCTTCTATTGGAGATGCTCTTTTAATAGAGTAAATACAGTAAGTGTTTTATTTGGAATAAACAACGGTGACAGAAATGGTACTTTGGTATAAATATGGGTATAGATTTTGCCGCTATCCAGGTATAAAAAGGGTCACACTTTTGAGCACTCAGGGGCACCTCCCTACCCAACTATATATCAACTGCACCCGGGGGTTGCTGCGTAACTCCTTTTATGCAGATGAACAATGGGCATATGATCAGATCAGAAAAAAATACGTCACAGATGTAGACGA